GGAATACAATATGAGTCCCTCAAAGATACCAAAATTGTTATTTTCACACCAAGGAGCACATAATTTTTGGTAAAAGGGTTGTTGCTGTTGTTTGGTACTATTGTCTGTGAGTTGGTTATGACTCATAGTGACCCTGTGTACAACAGAACAAAACACTGGTCAGTCCTTCACCATCTTCATAATTGTTTTGCTTGAGCCCATTGTTGTCACTATGTTGTTCTGTCACATTGGATGTCTTCCTCTTTTTCATAGACCCTCCTCTACTTTACCAAGCAGAATATCCTTCTCTAGGAACTGGTTCTTCCTGACAACATGTCCAAAGCACAAGAAACAATGTCTTGCCATATTCACTACCAAGGTGCATTCTGGCTGTATTTCTTACATGATAGATTTGTTTGTTTTCTGGCAGGCCATGATACTTTCAATATTCATCACCATCCTTTAAGTGCATCAATTCTCCCGTGGTCTTGCTTATTCATTTTCCTACTTTCATATGCATATGAGGTGATTGAAAATACCATGCTTTGGATCCAGCACAACTTAGTCTTCAAACTAACATGTTTGCTCTTTAATACTTTAAAAAAAAGTTTTTTTGCAGTAGATTTGCCTAACAAAATAAGCACCTTGATTTCTTGAAGGAGCTCTGGTAGCGTAGTGGTTATGAATCGGGCTGCGAACCTTAAGGTCAGCGGTTCGAAACTACCAGGTGTTCCGCGGGAGAAAGATGAGGCTTTCTACTCCCGTAAAGATTTACACCCTCGGAAAACCTATACAGGGTCGCTATGGGTCGGAACCGACTCGATGGCACATAACAACAACAACAACAAATGGTAATTGTGGATGCAAGCAATATGAAGTCTTTGAGAATTTCAACTTTTCTCCTGTTTTTCATAATGATGTTTATTGGTCCAATTGTGTGTGAGGATTTTTGTTTTCTTTACATTGAGGTGCAATGTAAAGATCTTCATTAGTAAATATTTGATGTTCTCTTTGCTTCCAGCAAGCAAAGTTTTGTTACCTGCTGGTTGTAATGAGTCTTCCTCCAATCCTGATGCTATGTTCTTCTTCATATAATACAGTTTCTCCGATGATTTGTTCAACATACAGATTGAATAAGCATGGTAAAAGAATGTAACTGTGGCTCACAGATTTCCTGATTCAAAACCATTATTTAAAATGCTGGCGGGGATGTGGCGAGACTGGGACATTCCTACGTTGCT